AATGTGAAATTCAGCCAGGAGAACGAAGGAGCAGTGGTTTCCTTGGCTGCTCATCGTGGCTCATGCAAGCTGCTGGGGCCACCAGAGAGCGCCGGTGGTGCTGCGATTTATTTGCCTCTAATTATGCGATCCTACGGTCGTTGATGCCAGGGAAGAAAGTGGTATAGGTATCGTGAATGCGTTCAGGAGATGGCCGCCGGAAGCAGATGCATTTGTTATGTGGCAATCACGTATTTACCAGCGCCAATCTTTTCATTGCCTTGTTACCATTCTCGACGACACTGCCAGAATCTCATACAGTTGCCTTGGCATTCTTGATTATTCAGGGCTACCTAGCATTCATTCTCCAGAGCATACCAAGCAGTGTAAGTAAAACATCACTATTAATACTGGTACGCGTTTATTATCCGATAGCAATTCCAGATGAATAGTTAGTCCTTTAATTATAAAAACCAAAACCACGTCAGGATCGCCAGTCCTAGAATTGATAGGTCTACTCTCCGAGGTATATTGGCCTTCGCTGCCGCATTACTGCTACTTGCTGTCGTTCCACTTGGAGCCGCTCCTGGTGTGCCTACGGTAGTCCGAAGCGACGAGGTGAGGGATGGCTCAGAAGAGTTGGAGGAGGGGCCCGCACCTGATCCCCCTGCTGTGCTAGATAACTGAGCGAATCCAATCGCTGGGGGATTCGAGTCTCTGAAAACAGAGTACACGTTTTTCTACATCGAAAGCTCAGTCTATACTACGACGTCGACAAACGCGGACACTGACCAAAAACGTTGCCCCGACAACCCATCCAGGATTTCCAGTTCCTTCCGGGATGTTGCTTCCGGCAGTAAGGTCAAAGATTCCCCCAAGACACATACTGCTGCCAGCGGTCGCGGGGCCCAGATTCATGTCCTGGCTATTGATCGGCCACGACTTGCCACCAAACGACATTGTCACTTCGACGTTAGTGTTGCACGCTGGGAAAATGATGATTTCAGCGGCCGAAATATGTAAGGGAAAGCGCGTCACTCACGAAACGTGTACAGCCCTTGCTGTCCGCGGGCTTGTTGTGCACCACTAACCTGAGCCCATATGGCAGCGACGTCGTCGGACGGGCCACCAATCAGAGTTGTTCCAGTGTCGATAGCAGACAATGCCGTGGTTCCGCTCGTGGTTAAAGCGATGCTTTTCCCTTGAACGGTAAGAACTGAAACGCGAATCAGGGGGAGCCTGAACGCGTAGACGATGATAAGAACTTGCCTTGGAGTTCTAGAAGCCAAAATGACGGCGTTGACACGGGCATGTTCAAAAACTCGATATCTCCCGTGAATAAGGGTGGAGTTGGTTCCTCCGAGTGTAAATACGCCTCCCGATTCTTCTGGCTGTACGTTTGTTTCGCCACGGTGCCGGGCAAGCCAAAAGCTCATTTCCGGAGATAGTCAACTGGTTTCCATTGACAAGGGCTTGCCAAAAGGGCGTTGCCTGTGTAGAAGCGATCTGTTCGAACGCGAGTCCCATGATACCAGACACGGAACCGCTTAACAAGCTGCTTGTTGTCTGATCAACAGCCACTACAACAAGGTCAATGTTTGAAAGTACGAGATAGTATTCAGCATACAAAAGGTTTGCTGGTTCACGGCGAAACCTCCCATTGACACTGTATCGGCGGAGAGCGTTCCAGCCACGGCCCCCGAGCCATAACGTATAGTCGTCTCAGAGTTGCTGCCGGACGCCGTTTTTAATGTCGATGATGACTGAGTGTCGAACAAAGGTGTCGACGAAGAACAGCTTGAACAGCTCGCGTCGGCGACCCACAGATCTGAAGAACCCGTGTCGAGAATCACGTTGAAAGATTGGGCCCTGGAGAGACGTCAGAATCACCCGAAATTGAAAAAAAAGAAAACTATGAGGCCACGGAACGATCGTGGCGTCAGCGCAGCCGACGAGCGGGAACTCGTTTAATTTTTGTCGACGTCGTAGCCGGGGCCGTCTATCATGTGCGCCACTCGCTCCGCGACGTCGACCGGGTGGAAATGACACTCACGGCGTTCCAATATTGACAGTCGCAAAATAACTGGCATCGGTGTTCTTGGAAAAGGGACAATCAGCTCAGGGCCTCGACATCGGACAAAGAAGCGGCGACGCACTTGATCCACAATACCAATACCAGCAGCACTCTGCCGCTTCCTGCTCTGGGATGCGGGGAAATAGCCGTACTTTGCCCTAAGGGCATCCGCAGCAGCTGCGTAATCAACCTGGCGGGGGCCGTTGTTCCTTATGGACACATGGATGGGCTCTGCAGAGACGGAAAGAAGAATGAAAAGTAGGGATACGGGGACGGGGAACATGGCGGTCGTGAGGAAAGGAATGAAAGAGCCTGTGGCCAAGCACAGATGAAAGCCGGAAACCTGTTCTGCGGCAGCGTGTGACGTGAGGAACAGATTTATATCCTGTGCACGTGCCTTCCTCCCGAAACTCTCATCATCATGTCTTGGTCTCTATTCAGTAAACTGGCCTTTGCAGGTCGCCCAGAAAATTAAAATTTCCCTCACCTGGTCTTGCTATTTGCTTGTTATTGTCAGCTCTTGTGGCCAGGACTTTCTTTTGTTACGCCAAAGTCTTTTGTACACGTAACTTCCAGGTGCTTAATCATCCATTTTAACTAGGACCCATTGCCTAGTAACCCCACACTGCAGTACCTTCTCACCATGTTGAACATGAGGACTGCTGCGTATCCGATTTGGCCGAGCTGATAAATCCTGTCTCCTAATTGATATGTATCTTATCAATCCCAGCATTGCCTACTGAGAATTTATCTTCAGTTGAGTGTCTCCATCTCTTCACTAGGATACAGCTTCCCCCTTAAGTCTATCGCACGTTACACTTGGCAATCTCCTAAGTTTCATTTAGGCACCGGCGGGTTGTGCCGGGAGCTTACCAATTAGGGACCAGCCTGCTCTCTTCTTCGCGGGAACGGCGCACGATGGCCAGGGTAAGACAAGACGTGTAATTTTGCAGCGCTCGAAATGTATGCATGGATTTATCATTCATTAGACCATCAGCGGCCAACAACGGCCGTGTTCCCATGAGATTTTGGGGGGACGCGCTGCCGACTCGCCGCGGATCACTCATCTTCCGCTTGTTGTCCTGAACCGCCCTGGCAAGTCATCCGTATTACTTCTTAATATTTCTTGTCTTTTGTATCCTTTCCTAGGCTCATTGTTATGAGTGAATTACGGCCTCTGGCGTCGCTCTCGCCCCAGTTTTTAATCCAAACGGAGGTCCCTTCTAAAATTCTCCTACAGAATGCAAACAGTCGTAGACATCAACAGTGTTATCTATCTTTCAGGTTTCCATCCTCATCTGCTTATCGGAATCATTCAATCTCCCTGATATTGGGTTTCGTTTAGATTTCCCGGGGACATGAATCAAGTTCATCATTACATTGACGTCCGGCGTGTCCCAGCGAGAAGGTAGGAGAATTTTTACGACATAGATATCTTCGAAGGCCCTTGCTCAAGGTCCATCGCTACGCACAAATCATCACACCGTTGCAGTTCTCTCCGCATCACGGTCTTATCAGTTGCGACCCATCATTTTCTGCTTTACGGTGACTTATCCTAGTCCTGATGGATCAGCCTAGTCAGTCTGGGTAGAGTTCACTCCTTTATCCTGTGCACCGGGGCGTCACCGCGCCTCGCACTGTCTTCTACTCACCCTTAGGCCGTGGATCGGACAATCCAAATCACTCTCGGATGATATAAAATTGAGCTAACTATAGTACGTATCCCCATATCAGGAGCATCCTTTCCACCAATACTTACTACACAAACACGTTCCCTCCATCAATCACAATAGTCTGCCCCGTCATATAGTCCGAGTCTGGACCCGCCAAAAACGAGACCAACTTTGCTGGATCGTCTGGTATACTCGTCCGGCCCAAACATATCGAATCCGTAAACCTGGAAAAGTTTTGGCCTATCGGAAGACCGTTTATTTCGCTCATTCCCCTGTCAATCTCCTCCCACATAGGAGATGCTACGATGCCGGGAGCGTAGGCATTAACGGTGATACGATGTCGGCCAAGTTCAATGGCGAAGGAGTGTGTCAAGCTTCGCACTGCGGCTTTCGTAGCGCTGTAATGTGCGAGGAGATGGTCTGCTCGGAATGATGTCCCGCTACAGAGGGTTCGGATGAGAAGGCCATTGTCATCGAGAAGCTCGAGGGCCTACCTAGCGGCGTTGAGAATCTTACCGCTGGTTCCTTGCTTAATGAACTGCTTCGCAGCTACTGCATCACTGTTGAAAACCCCCATGACGTTCACTTCGAATATTCGTCGAAGATCATCCTCGGTAATATCGAGGATGGGCTTGGAGTGAGCGATGCCTGCGTTGGCGACCATGACTGAGAGGGGTCCGAGGGTATCCACAGATATCTTCACGATCTCTTCCACCTCGGTACGTTTGGACACATCTCCAAAGGCACTAACGGCGCGTACTCCAAGCGAGCTAATCTCTTCCACTACCTGCATGAAAATATTACTACATAAGAGAGGTATGACAGTGATAGGCCTACTGATTTGACCTGGTTCGCATTTGATGAAAGATCATTGACACAGATATTGAACCCGTCTCGGGCGAGGCGCAGAGCTATTCCTCGTCCGCTTCGGAAGGTATAGTCAGTCGATGATCATATCATTCGCTATCGAGAATAGTGCGACCCACATTCCTTGGCCGGCGCCGGTGACGACAGCCGTACGGGGTGATGCTGTGGTGACAGATCGGATGGGAGTCCTACATACATGTCGCGCACATAAGATGCGCAAAGCAGTGCGGTTCAAGCTGGATAAGGTTCTGATTATCATCGCGGAAGAAAAGAGGGTATCCGATGTAAGTCAAGTATTGGTTTCGAAATTGTCCCATCTCCGGCGAGGATTCTGAGCTTGGGATCAGGATTGGTGAGAATGCGATTAGGGCCTTATAGATAAGGTAATATATAAGCCAAGTAACCAAGACCCCTTAGCTCAGTGGTAGAGCGTGTGATTCCAGAATGATTTGAATAATGAATCTGGTTGTCCACAAGGTCAAGCGTTCAACTCGCTTAGGGGTCATTTTACTGCATTTCCTCTTTGCAGAGGTTCCTTAGGGCTGCACACGAAACCCCCAGGGGGGGGGGGGTACTATACCGTTTTTTACTGCGACCCCCAAGAGGGGGGGTTGCGCTACGGTTACTTACCGTTTCTTATCTGTCACGTGCAAATATCACATGATTGATGTCCAGTAATTTCGCATTTTCAAAACATTTCATCCAGAATCTTAATCTTCGCGCTTTTTCTTCATTTTCCCCTCCCTTGAGTTACAATTCAGTGCATATGTTACAGAACAAACCTGCACTTTGTCAACACAAAATTGTCTTAGTAGAGTTGAATATGATAGTAATTTTGCTTGCTCCTACATCATCACATGACAGGTAAGTTACCTCCACGAAAACCCTAGCCTGGCACCCAGGGCGCGGGTATCGCTCGTGGGTGCAGATTTGGAACCCCGACTACATGCCGAAAGCTTGCCGGCCACGTGCAAGCGCGTAACGCGCTAACTTGAAACGCTTGTTGATCGACTTCGTTTATCATCCTTGTTGTATGCTCTCAGTGCTCACCCCCAGATGTAGCCGTGACCGGACTGTCCAGCCCTGAGGGGCAAAAACTCATTCGGCAGTTTGTTCGGCCTTCTTAATGGGGGTAATATGCGAGCATTGAGAGAAGATGTTCGGGTGATAGAATTGGAATAGTAGGTGTATGTTGGCTCAGAATATTCATTGGAACCATTTCTGAGATAGCCTCATCATCCATGAACTCTGAGGAATCATCACAACTGCTCATGATGGCTTTTGACCTCTCCGTAGCGGTAGGGGGCGAACAAAGTGAACATCCCCTATGCTTATTTTGCCTTTGTCATCTCTATTACACATGCCGTGACATCCGGCATCCGGGCGGGGTTTCAAATCTGCATCCACGAGTGATACCCGCACCCTGGGTGCCAGGCTTTATATACAGTAACGAGTTCTGCGAGTTTCTAATAAAGCCGGTTTACCAGGCTACGAAAACCCCTCCAGAGGGGGGAGGTAAAGTACCAGTAACTAACCGGTCCGAAACCCCAGTGTATCAAAACCTAGGGTTGCGTGCGCAACCCTAAGGTTCCTATTTTCATATTATCCAATTAACAAGCTCTGCACGGTTGGAAGTTGGTATTTTGAATCCTGGAAGGTAGGCTTGCACATGAAACCCTGGTTTCGGACCGGTAAGTTACCGGTTAGTTACTGGTAATATACCTCCCCCGCTGGAGGGGTTTTCGTCGAGGTAACTTACTTATCATGTAATGGCATTTGAGCACCAATATCACCACTATATTCAATCCTATTCCACTTAGATTTTATTTACAGCCAAAACCTATCTCCGTAGTAACTTTCAATGCATCACACTGCAGGAGAAAGAAATTTGTACGGAAGACTACGACGATGAAGATGTTGGGAAATTGTTGCAAATGACGCGCGTCATGCATGTGATTATGAAAACATCCCCCTTGGGGAGGTGTCGTGCGCAGCACTAGTGGAAGGGGGGATGGAGGAGCTGCGATCTTGATTACATCATTTCGATTACCGGAGAAACCCGGGCGGCGCTTAAATTACCACCCAAACGCGTTGATTGTGACACGCGCCTCACGTGATCTTACTGCATCTTATCACCAACCGTCATGTCCTTCCCTTCTGTGTCGACCTGGAAATGGTCGACAGCTCATCGCGCCCAGTATTCCTCTCCTTCGTCGTCACCACTGTGCTCGTCGTCTCCGCCAACATCACCGCATTCCGTATATACTCAATGTCAAGCCCGTGTACAGTCAAGTCCCAGTCCTGGGTATTGTATCGACATTCATGATCCGGGCAACGGCGCGTCGGATTGGTTCAGGAGAGAACTGCATCCCCTCAATTTTCCTCATCCCAAAGTTCCGTGCAAACTGCCCAGTTTTCATTCCATGTTTGGGGACTTACCTCCACCTATGTCCGATGTGGAAGAGTACTCTGACGTCGCTGACGTCCACCTCTTTCATAGCAACGCGCCTAGTGACGTATCCCCAAGCCATGCTTCTGTTTTCGATACCGACAGCGAGGAGGAGGACCATAATGCAGGGGACGAAGTCTGCATCGAAACGGCGTCCAGGGCTACATTCTTCCGAGTGTCTGAAGAGCGAGGCCAATGGAAGAATGATCCTATACCTTTTCAGCCTCAGCCTCCATATCATCAGCGCAATTCAATGCCTGCTTCGTCTCGCCCCGTCCCACCAAGTCCTGACAGACGACTAGCATCTGAACCTGCAGGATTCCCCATGAACTCCCACCATTCCGGCCTGGATTTCACCTCTGAATTCTCCCCAGAGTCGGATGACAGACAAACTTCATACGATGCCGATGTTGATTCAGAACTAATAACATCCGAATCAGAGATGCCAGATGACGATAATCGACCCTACTCACCTTTGCCCCCTTCGTCACCACCTCTGTCACCCATGTCTTTTTCTGTATCGCCAATGATCGGCCCTATGTCGCCGACAGGCGTTTCAGCTCTACCTCCACTGTCTCCCGCTATCATTCCTCCGCTCCACTCGGATGTCACTGACATCGAGGGTGTTCACCCCTTGGTCACCATGGATCTTCCTTCGTCGCCACTTGTACGTGTATTGGCACATGGAGCTTTGCTATCGTTCACAAGCCTCACCCTTACAGGTTCAGAGCAAATATGAAATACCTCCCTTCATGATACCAGAAACGTCGATCACATGTGGCGCCGAGTTAGATACTATCACCGCCGTCATATCAACGGATTCAGCACCCCCATCTCCGAGTCCCGAAGACTTCTTCGACAAGGATCAACTAGCAGTCTCTTCACCACCAGCTTTTTCTGTTGTTATCGACACCAATGTGAATGCCAACATTGAAAATTCCGTCTTACCCAAGGGAGATTTATCGGACGATGTTATCGCAGAACACGTCACGATCAGTGACACTCCGACGAAGCAGGAGGTTCCAGAGCAGGATCAGATGGTTGGGGTCACGCTGAAGGAGAAGAATGGAGTTGACTATATCGCGGCAGCAACGATGGGGCACGAGTGCCACGAGAAGCGCAAAAAGGAGCAAGATGATGGTCCGAAGAAGAAAAAGCCTCGGCTGGGTAGCCATTCCACGTCTTCCGCCGCTGCTGGAGATGACGAAAACACTAGGACCGCCTCAAAATCCGAAACCAAGATTAAGACTAAAGCAAGGAAGCCACGTAAGCAAGCCGAGCCTCCTCGACGTCGACGTCGACAGCCGTCGTACTCATCTTCAGATGAAGAGGATGAAGAGCTAGTAAAACGGCAGCCGCCACCCCCACCTCCCTTGAACTTCTCAGTCGAGGACGCCGAACTGTGTGGTATGATCATCGAGAGCATGGCCACATCCCGGGCTTCCTCGCATCGGGCCTCTTCCATCTACAAAGCTGTCATCCAGAACCGCCCCGCACTCAAATCACAACGAGAAGATCCAGACTGGATCACTTCCATCAGGAGGGTGCTGGAAGAGGCCCATCGTATAAATGGGATGTTTGGCAAGGTGGAAAGCAGTGGCATGGTGAGCGCATCTGTAAAGCTGTGTTATCGAGCGCTAATCTCTCTTGTCTAATATAGGATGAGTTGAACCACCCCCTGGAAGCGCAGTGGTTCTATGTGCCAGAGCGAGATGAAGACCAGGAACGCGCGTCGTTAATGAGGGCAATGATGCCTAGGCCAGCGAAAAGGTCTGAAACGAAGAAGTATAAACAGTATTACTACCGCCCTTTGGGTAAGATTTCGCGATGGGACTCTGAAGACGCCCTCTGAACATCCCTGCTTTTTGATTGCACTTTTTGACACTACTATCATTATTCTAGTCTTCGTTCTGCGTTCTGCGTTCTGCGTTCTGCGTTCTGCGTTCCAGCTTGTAGCATTATACTTTTCCCATCTATTCTCGGTCTTCCTTCCAACCGCATTTTTAGTGTATTGAGAGAGCATGACGATCGCAGTTCCTTGACGGCAATAATGATTATCATAATATTGCATATACAAACTACACATCTAAATGTGAAAAGTCGTGACGCGGATGAGTAAGAAAGAAATAGAGCCCGTCTAACGTCTCTGGGTCTTTCCACCCTTACGTTTACCAGCAAACAGATGTTTTGGCTAAGAAGAAAGGTCAGACATTTGTATATTATCGTATCCTGTAGATTGCTCACCATTTTGACTTTGATTGCACGATCACTCTCTCCAGCCTTGGCAAGTTGGTTTCGCGGCCGCTGTCCAAGATTCCGTAGCTTAACCGCCTTGGATGCTTGCTGGATATACGTGAGCAGGCAAAATCATACAACTTAACAGATATACTCACCCCTTCGTCCCGTAAACCAGCGAGTTGTCGATTTGTCTTCGGCGCCCGTCTGTCTACCGCCACCACCGCACCAGAATTGCCCTTAACGCGCTTGGTAGGTGCTTTCTCCTCACCATCGACATCCATCACGTCATCATCCTCTCCGTCATTCTCCATGCCATCATCATCGATATCCATCTCAGCTTCTTCCGCTCTCTTCCGCTTCGCTCCCGCCACCTTGGCCAACACCGTTGCACGCTCCTGTATCCGACTCGGGTCCAAGCCTGCCTTGGTCATCCCCTCAGTCAAATCTGACAATGACCGCGTCGTCGCTGTCCGAGGCATACGAGCCTGGTTCTTTTTGCTCTTCTTGATACTCTGCGAGTGAATCTTGTGTGAGAGGGCGACTTGAGCTTCCTGGGCTTCGCGTTCGTCGTCAGAGTCGTACTGTTACAAGCCCCTTAGATGTGAGAGAAGAAGAAACAAGAGGTGCTCACCATCTCTTCGCTGTCGTAGAATCCTTCTGTCTGAAGGCGCTCTTCTTCGCGTTCGAGGGCATCGAGCTTCTCCAGAATGTCGGGGTCAATGAAGTCGGCAATGTTTTTGCCGTCCATAATCTCGGGTATGGTGTCCATCTTCCATTCAGGATTAGCAAGGAGGTAATCCTCTGTTGATACAATCAGT